AGACATGCACTCTGCAAACCAAGCCACAGCTCCTCCTATGTCCTTTTAAATCTTTATTTTATTTTTTTGGATGGTGTTTCTCCGTATAGCCTTAGCTGTTCTGGAACTCACTCTGAAGACCAGGCTGGCCTTGAATTCAGAGATCCACCTGCCTCTGCCTCCCACCTGCTGGGATTAAAGCTGGGTGCTACCACCACCAAACTTTGTTTATTTAAATCCTCAGGAGGGTCATTTGCTACACAAGGACCAAAGCTGGTAGTGAAGGAGAGGGAGTGTATCCTTGGTAATCATCCCCCCAGCCTGCTAACATCGAGGAGCTACAGCCTGCTAACATCAAGGAGCTACCTTCCAGCACTGACTGCCTTACCTTCCTCCTCTATTACTCATGCCTTTTGCAATTTTCACCTCACAATCTGTTTCTGGGTCAGCCTAAACTACTTCAAACGGATAGCTTTGTCTCCAGAGACACTGTCACCATGAAAGAGATAAGATATTCCTCCCTATTACTGGCCGAGGATGCTGCCAAACATACAATGTTGCCAATAGAGCTGAGGTCAAAAATTCAGACCCTAAGTTAAGACACAAAGTGATTCCCAGCTGGTTATAAACCTCTTTCCATAGAACGTCCTAGCAAAGCCTGGCTGTAGAAAAACAATATGGGCGTGGATTTCTTCTAGCTTTTCCTCTTACACCTTCCATTTAGTACACGTATTTTTGCAACTATCTACGTCACGATAGATCCAGTACAAGGATTGGCATGAAGATCGACTTGGCCAATCAGAAAATGTGAATTTGAGGAGGGGGGAGATGCTGGAGGAGTTTGGGGGGTTCCACGGCAGTGATGTAACACAGTACTCACATATGAAATTCTAAAAGAGCAAAAGCAAAACTAAAAAACCAAAACTAAAGGCAGGGCAGTGGTGGTACCCACCTTTATTCCCAGCACTTGGGAGGCAGAGGCAGACAGATCTCTGAGTTTGAGGCTAGCCTAATCTACAGAGTGAGTTTCAGGACAGCCAGGGCTACACAGAGAAATCCTGTCTTGAAAAACAAACAAAAATGAAAGGAAAGAAGGAAGGAAGGAAGGAAAGAAGGAAGTAAAAAAGGAAGAAAGAAAGGAAGGAAAGAAGGAAGGAAGGAAGGACAGACCCACCAAGATGTACTCGTTAGTTTTACGTCAATGCAACACAAGTAGAGTCATCTGAAGAAGGGAACCTCAAATGAGAAAATGTCCCCATAAGATCTGGCTATAGGGTATCTTCTTAATTAGTGATTGATGGGGGAGGGCCCAGCCCATTGTGGGTGGGTCCATGCCTGGGTGGTGGTCCTGGGGTTTTTCTTTGTTTGCTTGGTATGGTTTGGTTTTGAGACAGAATCTCTCTATATAGCTCTGTCTGTCCTAGAACTCACTAGGTAGACCAGACTGGCCTTGAACTCACAGAGATCTGCCTGCCTTTGCCTCCTGAGTGCTGAGATTAAAGTTGTTTTCTATGATGCCCTGTTAGGTCCTGGCTTCTATAAGAAAGCAGGTTGAGCAAGCCATGAGGAACAAGCCAGTAAGTAGACTCTCTATCAAGTCCTGCCTTCAGGTTCCTTCCCTGCTTTGAGTTCCTGTTCTGACATGCCATGGTCAATTAATGACTGTTGAGAGAGGGAGAAATCGTCTTTCCCAGGAATGAGGCCCCTAGTTAGCTATGCAATACCAAATGGTCAACTCTAAAAACATACATACAATCAACCCTAAATGGACTCAGCAAATTGTAGTCATATATTTGTTTATATATATATATTTAAACATATAAACATTATTCATATATACATATATATATACACATATACGTACCAATAATGATTAAAAAGAGACTAAGAATTTGAGGGGAGGACAACATGGGGGGGTTACACATATATGAAATGAAATTTTTTTCCTTAATTTTTCCAAAAAGGAGAAAAGAGAAAACCCCTTCTGCAAACCATGGTAGTTGGTTTAGGATTGGAATGTGAGTAAAACCAATCAGAATGATTTTTGTCTTTTTCAGCGAGTTCTCTCCAGACTCCCTTTATTCTAGGGCCTGGGGCATCCAATGGACAGTTTGGCAGCCATGTAGGGAACAGGGCAGAGTTCTGGTGACAATACTCAGTGGGATGAGTCAGAACCTTCCCTTTTTTGGACTTGTTTCTCAGCCTTGACTAATAGGGCCTGGTCTGTCCCGCAGGACTTGGAATTTCCTGGTCTTTTATCTCATCTTTGAGGACCGCACCCTCTTCCCCTTCCAGACCCTGGGTGGGAGTTGGCAGGGTGATGTAACTGCCCACTTATGAACTCCTGTTACTCATGGGTACCTGACTGTCAGAGAACACCTTGTCTGGTGGAGCCGTTCCTAACTTGGAAGAATGCTTGGGATGGGGCAGTAGTTTTTCCTCTGGAAGACTCTAGAGCAATTCATTGAATTCCAGAAGCCCAGCTCACTCTGTCCTGACGTAGGTTTAGTTTGGATGTTCAAGGGAGCTGCCTATGCATTTCAAATTGAACTTGAAGTTCTGAGGCTACTGGGTGAATCTGAACCATTTCCTTTCTCTAAGTCTCAGTTTCCTCACAAGCTGTCACCAGGCAATGGTGATACCAGACCCCAAGGGAGGTTATCACTGAGGTCACTAAAGGAAACAGCAAGGATGAAGGCAAGCAGCCAGTACATGTAGGAAATAACACGATTCTGAATGTTTCCTTTTTTAAATTTTGAAATTACTGTGTATGTGTGTGTGTGTGTGTGAGAGAGAGAGAGACAGAGAGAGACAGAGAGAAAGAGAGAGACAGAGAGAGACAGAGAGAGAGAGAGAGAGAGAGAGAGAGAGACAGAGAGAGAGAGAGAGAGAGAGAGAGATTCTGTTCTCTCCTTCCACCACGTGGGTCCCTGGAGTCCATGTAACTCATCAGACTTTGCAGCAAGTCCTACTCACTGAACCATCTTGCATGCCCACGAAAATACTTTCTGTTTGCCATGTAAAGATCTCGCCAGGCCTTTCCTCCCATCTAAAGCAGGAGGTGGAAGTGTGTGGCCCACAGTCAGGCCGCGGGTGTGGAGGTTGGACACACACTCACTCCCAGGGGCCTCCCTCGGATGGGCAGTTGGTGCAGGGTGGTCACAGAGCGCACGGGATCCCCACCCAGCCCCTCACTCCTGTAAGGTAAAGCAAAGCCTACAGTTCACTTTCTGGCGTCTCCAAAGAAAGGCCTGGAATCTCTGGGTCGGGACTGGCTCCCTTGTCGCTGCTCAGGCCTGATAAGAGCGGTGGGGTCTGAGTCAGCTTAAGGATTCTCCACTGCTCAGGGCCTGCTCTTAGCACAGGTTTGGGCCCAGACTTCGCCCTTCCGCTCACGCAGCTGTCCTGGAGGAAGGCGCCCTGGTTCTCATCAGTCAGTCCTTCAGCGCCGCCTAACGAGGCAATCAGCCCAGAGTCCGTGCGAGTTGCTGCAGGCCAGGGTTAGGTCTCAAATTTGGGACAACCGGTTAACTGACTGGTTAACTGGCCTCCAGTTTCTCCCTGGATCCCACAGTCCCTACCTGTTTCAGGGTGTGGCTGGCAGACCCCACCCCCTTGCCCCAAACGCCAATTCACGGGCTGGGCTGTCCTTCCCCCAGCTGTGGCCCTTGCTATACAATCCTGCTGTTTTGGTTCCTTGGCCTTTTGGTCTTCCCTTTACTTTCCCGGCCAGTCTCGTCGTCTGGCTCTCCCTTCTCCCCTCCTCCTTCTCATATGGGTCAGCTTGGGGTCACGTCCACTCTGGGCTCTCCCAGATGTCCCTGCCTCCAGTTATGCTCGCCCTTTTATCTATGGCAAACCTTCTCCACTACACCTAGAGCAGTCAAGCTCTCTCTCTCTCTCTCTCTCTCTCTCTCTCTCTCTCTCTCTCTCTCTCTCTCTCTCTCTCTCTCTCTCTCTTTCCCTTCCTTCCCCCCCCCTTTCTTTCAGTCAGGAAGTGAAGTGACCTCTCCCTGAGCCTTATCAGCCATGCTGGTCTAGGGAGTGGAGGAGGGAAAGGGTGAAAGGTGCCTGTTGCCCCGCCTCCCGCTAGGGAACTGCCCTGGGAGAGACTTCCCTTGTACCCTCCTCAACGTCCAGCAGCCTACCAACATGGTCTAACCTGGCCCAACTCTCCTGTCCACATGTGCTACCCAGCAACTGGAACCATCCTCTCCCTCCCTGGCTCAGTCCCTCGCTCCGTCCCTCAGTCCCTCCGTCCCTCCCTCTCTCCTCTGTCCACCCTCTCTCTTTTTACAGGTACTATCTTACTGCTATGTAGACCAGGATGGCTTCAAACTCCAAAGATCTCTCTGTCCCTCTTTCCAGAGTACTGGCGTTAAAAGGTAGACCCAACCACACCGGATAATTAACTTTTTTTCAGGGCACGTGTGTGGCGGTCAGGGGGAAACCGCCTTCTGGAGTTGGCTCTTTCTCTCACTATGTAGGTCCCTGGGGAGTGCAAGGCAGTGAGGCTTGTTGGCTGACACCTCTACCCACTGAGCTTTCTTGTCTTTCGTTTGCCTTCTGTCTCTCCTTCATTCCCTCTTGTCCTTCTTTTGATACAGTGTCTCCCTGAACTCGATACAGTGTCTCCTTGAACTCCGTGCTGCGGGTGATGGTTTTTAAACCCTTGATCTTCTCGCCTTTACCTCCCACGTGGTATGATTGCAGGAACGAGGCACTGTGCCTGGTTTCGCGGTACTGGGAATTGCGTCCAGACTGTTGCACATGCCAGGCAAGACTACCAACTGAGCTGCATCCCCAACCCTGTATGCTTAAAGAAGAAGGAAAGGAAGAAGAGAAGGAAGGAAGAAAACGCCAAAGACATCTCGTCCCACCCCTGCTCAGACCCTTGCGATGGCTCTTCATTACCATTGTGTATGGGGGGTGGGTGTCTCCTAGCCCATTCAGACTGCTTTGTCAAAAACTATGAATGCCTTTGTTCAGAAACAATAACTTTTGTTTGTTTGTTTCTCACAGTTCTGGAGGTTGGAGGAAGTCCAGATCAAGGCACAGGCAGATTCTGAGCGTCACACTCTTAAAGTCAGTACCTTATAGCTTCTCTGTGTCAACTTGGGAAGGGATAGCTGGGCATTTAGGGTCCAGTATGATGATGCCCACCTGCAGTCTCAGCATTTAAGAAGCCTCTTAAAGAGTCAGGAGGATGGAGAGTTCTGGCTACCCTGGGGCACAGAGAGAGACCCTGTCTCAGACACACAAAATCAATTTCACAGGCAGAAATCCCACTCGGGAGATCACGACCTAATTACCTCCAGGTGCCCTCCATCCTGTCATCTTGGACATTAGGGTTTCCACTCAATAATGTGACTGGAATCAGAAGGTTCAGACCCGTAGCACGCGTGTTTCTTCTGACTCCCTCGTCCTCAGTCCTTCCTGAGCTCAGGTGCTGCCGCTGCCCATAGCTCCTGGAAAGGACCAGAGCTTCTTATGCCTCAGGGTCTCCGCCACTAGGCTCCCTAGGTTTTATGAGGCAGGGTCTTGTGTACACCAGGTTGCTCTCAAACATACTGTGTAGCCCAGACCTTGAGTCTTTTTTCTCTACCTCCCAAGTGCTGGGATGACTGGAATGAACCACTAGGCTTGAGAGGGGACTTCCTAGAGCAGGAAGCATTTCAAGTTGTCCCTGTGCTCTGACAAGCTCCCAATCTCTCTGCTAATCCTCCCAGCACAGCAGGGAACAACACCCAGGAGGCTTGCTAGGTGCCAGCTGTCCTGCCTTGGACAGGGTCTCTTTCTCTCTGTGTGTGTCTCTGCTTCTCTCTATATAAAGTGGGCTGAGGGTGCCTGACTGTCTTTGGGGGAGAGCAAGTGATCCATAGATGTACAAATGCCTTGTGGTTCATGATCCATCCCTTCTCCTGAGGGCAGGGGGTATCTCCAAGACAGCCTCTTAGTTAGCCACTTCCCTGGTGTAGATTAAAAAGGAAGGGCCAGGACTGGGAAGGAATGAAGCCAGGCAGACTCAGATTTTCTAGATAATCACTGACTGTGCAAGTTCCTTGGGGCAGGCAGGAGGGTGAAAATTCCTTGCACTTAGTTGAAAAGGAAGAATTCCCATGGTGGTGAGGTCCTGCTGCAGCCTGGGTTCAGATACTGGGACAGGGAATGAGCATCAGTGAAGAAATGAATTGTCTGACCAACCAGATGAGTTTCACATAAGTGGCTGGCCCCAAATAGATCTAACCATTTTTCTACATCAAAAACAAGCATGTTTTCCCATCCCCCAATGTAAATCTCCAGCAAAAACAAATATGTTTTTCTCAACTTTTACATCAAGATATCTTTAAACCAAAAACCAACACTTACCATTTTGTTAGCTTGGCTAAACAGAAAACACTGTTTAGTTTTTTGCATGTTTTTTTTTGTGCATTTGTTTGAGACAGGGTTTCACTATGTAGTCCTGGCTGTCCTGGAACTCACTGTGTAGACCAGGCTGGCCTTGACATCACAGAGATGCACCTGCCTCTGCCTCCTGAGTGCTGGGATTAAAGATGTGCACCGCTATGCCCAGCTTCAGAAAACATTTTTTAAGGGAAATGCAGAAATATTGAAATTTGCAAAGGCTGCCTATTTGGAAAACAAATGCTAAGTTTCATTAAGTATAGGGAATTCCTGTCTGCATTTTTAATACTCTTCCAAGGTCTGTTAGGGTATTACATATCTACTAAGACCCCCTTCTCACAGTGTTTTTAAGTTGATGCTATTTATATAAAATGTATGATCCTATTTTTTATTTTTTGAGACTCAGTTTTGTGTCTTTTTAATTTGTATGTGTCTATCAATGGATGTCACATGTGTCTAGGTGACTGCAGAGGCAAGAAAAGAGTCTCAGATCCTTGAAGTTCCAGTCACCAGCGGTAACAGGTGTCCAACGTGCTGGGAACCAAACATGGGTTCTCTGGAAGAGTGTGCATGCTCTTCATTCCTGAGTTATCAATGCAGCCCATGACCTTACTCTCTAGATACCATGAGTGATGGTGAGTTAAAATGTATATTCTGTTTTATTTTCAATCCCAACTGAGTTCATTCACCAAATAGTTTGTAAATATTTGCACGTATACTCTCATGTAACTTAACACCTCTACCCTCCTCTAGGTCTGTGGCACTAGTAGCACCCATGAGGACCAGCATGAGAATTTGTTCTAGCATTTTTGGTGTTGTCTCTGGTGCCCTCAGCTACTCCCAAATTCCCACACCAGTCAGATGCACAGCATCTCCCTCCACTTGTAACATTCGAATGACTGTAGGCGTGGTCTGATGTCCACCATGGAATGAAATCTCCTGAAAGTGGGACCCCTTTGCTTTAGACGTGTTGCTATTCTTGGAGATGTCCTAGAAACATTATATACACTGGTATCCAGGATGTATGATTGGGGCAAATTCATAAAATATTACTGTAGACTTTCACCTAGACATGGAAGCTGAGAACGTATAGCTTATCTGCAAGTTGGAGAGAGAGAGACAGAGAGAGAGAGAGACAGAGAGAGAGAGAGACAGAGAGAGAGAGAGAGAGAGAGAGAGAGAGAGAGAGAGAGAGAGAGAGAGAGACCTGGCCTGATGCTAGCTTTTGAAACCTGAAAGCTCTCCCTTCCCCAGTGAACTCTCTCCTCCAACAAGACTGCACCTAATTCCTCTTAAACTTTCCACTAACTGAGAAACAATCACATTCGTTGAGTCTGCTGGGACCATTCTTATTCAAAGGACACACACACACACACACACACACACACACACACACCCCACACTAATGTGATACAATTTAATAAATAAATCTAGATTCCCATGAGAGAGCAAACACAATTACCTGTCATTTTTTCCCTCATCACTATCTCTTGTCTTTCCCAGTCTCGAGTCCCCTTTGACTTTCATTTAATGTTTGACAGCCACCTGACCTAAAAACAGACTCTTGGGACATTAGTACTATGAAGTGACACCCACCCTGGAATGGATCAAGTCGAACTGCAATCAAAACTACAAACAACTGGTGTGGCTAGGTGTGGGAGCATTGGGCTGGGGTGGAGGTCAGCCTAGCCCTTTCCTAGACACAGGTTCCTCAGGGACAGGATTGATTTCCACGGGCCAGTCACGGAGCTTGAGTGGGGAGGGACCACTTTTTTTTAAAAAATATTTTACTTATTTATTTGTGTATACAGTCTTCTGCCTGCATGCCAGCAGAGGGCACCAGATCTCATTCAAGGTGGTCATGAGCCACCATGTGGTTGCCAGGAATTGAACTCAGGACCTCTGGAAGAACAGTCAGTGCTCTTAACCGCTGAGCCATCTCTCCAGCCCCCAGGAGGGACCACTTTTAAGAGTACTTTTCCACGCCTGTAGCACTGGGAGCCTGAATAGATGCTGGTGTTGGAGAGGTTAGCCACAGTCATCGGCTGTTTACTCTTGGGGGGGGTCTGTCTCTGCGATTTCCTCCTCCCTTCCTGTGAGTATTTGGATGTCTTGCCAGGAAGAATTATGAGGCATGGGATTTGCACTGGAATTTGATTCCTTGAAATGGGGTCTCACGAAGCCCCAGCTGACCCTCAACTTACCCTATAGCTGAGGATGTCTTTGAAGCAATCCTCCTGCCTCTAGCTCCAGCGTGCTGACATTACAGGCTTGGTTGTACCTGTACTCAAAAGCAATAATCTATACTGATGACAAGTTGGGAACTAGTTTAATCATCTAGTAGATAGATTATATATGATTTTAGAATATCTCTGAACTATAAGACAGAGGAGTAATATAGAAACACATAATAGTATGACTTGATGTGGTTAAGTATGTCTAAAAATTGTAGCTTTGAGTTATCCAAAAATGGAGATGTTAGTTGAGAATGCTAGTGTTATCTATTAGTCTTTGATTAATGGTGTTAATTTTTTAATCTGTATTCTGATGAAGTATTGTTAGATGTAGAGTTTACCTGAGCTAGCGGTGAGCATAGGTAGGATCAAGGCTGTAACTGAAGATGACCTAAGAAATTAAATCTGTAATCAAGGCAATAATAAGTCATTCTAACTATGAGAGGGCAAAACCTCCTGTCTCAAAAAACACAGAGCAAAATTTTCATAGCAGAACAATTGTCAGAAATACATATGGAGAATGTCTGATCACATACATTACAGGATCATGGGCAGAATTTATACAATTAGTAATAGGACACTTTAAAAAGATAGTTTAGCCCATGAGCTGTATAGTTCAATATTTTTAAAAGAAGGGTGACATAGGGTTGTAGAAGTCACTCATGGTTGCTTCTTGCTGATATGGGGCAAAGTTGAGAGTCTCGAAGGCTGGAACACAGTGGAAATTCAGGAAGAGCAGGCTATTTTCAGGCTCTCTGAGGCACGCAGGTAGCTTTGGAGCAGTCTGTATCCAGAGAATGCAGTAGGACCCCTCAGGAGTAGGCTGGAGGGCGGGGCTCGGAGCTACAGCAGGATAGTGGCCTTGGTCAGAGGAAGAGCAATCTATAACATTTTAAATGATTGTAAGTGTGGTGGGTGAATCCCCAGAGACCTGGGGGCAGACCAAACCATCCAGCATCTTCCATCATCGGAGCCTCGGCCCTGCACCCACCTAGAGAGGCCTCACCTGCACCCACTGGAAGAAGAGATGGGAAGGAGACCACATTCAACAGCATAAAGGGTAATACGACACCACCAGAGTCTAGGGGTTCTATACCAGCAAGACTTGAGCATCCCAACGCAGATGAAGCAGAAGAAAATGACCTTAAAAACAACTTTGCGAAGATGATAGCGGGCCTTAAAGAGGAAATGAGAAAATCCCTTAAAGAAATGGAAGAAAAGCGAAGCAAAAAAATAGAAGAAATGAAGATAAAGACGGGGGAAAAAAAGCAAGAAATCTACAAATGTTTTAAAGAAAGCAAGGAAAGCCAAGAAAAAGCAATCAAACAGGTTAAGGAAACAATTTACACAGTTCAAGACTTGAGAATTGAAATGGAGGCAATGATGAAAGCACAAACTGAGAGGAGGCTGGAAATAGAAAATCTGGATAAATACAGGAACTACAGATGCGGGCATAACTAACAGGATACAAGAGAGATGGAAGGCAGAATTTCAGGCATTGAAGATACACTAGGAAACATAGATTCATTGACCAAAGAAAATCTTAACTCCAACAAATCCCTAACACAAAATACCCAGGAAATATGGGACACCATGAAAAGACCAAACCTAAGAATAACAGGTATAGAAAAAGATAAAGAAACCCACCTCAGCCAGGCAGTGGTGGCGCACACCTTTAATCCCAGCACTCAGGAGGCAGAGGCAGGTGGATCTCTGTGAGTTCCAGACCACCCTGGTCTACAAGAGCTAGTTCCAGGACAGTCTCCAAAGCCACACACAATTCCACCACCACCAAATCCAAAACAAAGAAGAATGAGCAATCAATGGTCATTAATATCCCTCAATATTAATGATTTTAACTTGCCTATGAAAACACAGGCTAACAGAATGGATACAAAGACAGAATCCATCCTTCTGCTGCATTCAAGAAACACACCTCTACTTCAAAAACAGACGTTACCTCAGAGTTAAGAGTTGGGAAAAGATTTTCCAATCGAATGGACTCAAGAAACAAGTGGGGGTTGCAATCCTAACATCTAACAAATTAGACTTTAAACTAAAGCCAATCAAAAGAGATGAAGGAGTTTATTTCATATTATCCCAGGAAAAGTCCATCAGGATGAAGTCTCAATTCTGAACATCTATGCCCCAAATACAAAGGCATCCACATTCTTAAAAGAAACATTACTAAAACTCAAATCACATATAAAACCTCAACACCCCACTCTTAGCACTACACAGGACTACCAGACAAAGAAACAAATGAACTAGTAGAAGTTATGACCCAATTGGGCCTAACAGACATTTATAGAACATTCCATCCAAACACAAAAGAATATACCTTCTTTTCAGCACCACATGGAACCTTCTCTAAAATCGACCACATATTTGACAACATAGCAAACCTCAACAGGCATAAAAAAATTGAAATAACCCCCTGTATCTTATCAGACAACCATGCTTTAAAGTTAGAATTCAACAACAAGAAGACACATTGAAGAAACCCTACAAAATCATGGAATTTGAATAATGTGCAATTGCACCATTCCTGGGTCAAGGAAGAAATAAAAAAAGTAATTAAAGACTGCCTAGAATTCAATGAGAATGAAGACACAACATACCCAAACTTTATGAGACACTTTGAAAACAGTGTTAAGAGGAAAGTTCATAGCACGAAGTTCCCACATGAAGAAACTGGAGAATAGTTACACTAGAGAATTTACAGCACAAGTGAAAGCTCTAGAACAAAAAGAAGAAAACTCATCCAGAAGGAGTAGATGCCAGGAAATAATCAAATTGAGAGCTGAAATTAATAAAGTAGAAACAAAGAAAACAATACAAAGAATCAATGAAACAAAGAGTTTGTTCTTTGGGAAAATCAACAAGATAGACAAATCTTTATCCAAACTAACCAAAAGGCAGAGAATGAACATGCAAAATCAGAAATGAAAAGGGGGGACATAACAACGGACACTGAGGAAATCAGAGAATCATCAGGTCATGCTTTGAAAACCTGTACTCCACAAAATTGGAAAATCTAAAGGAAATGGACAATTTTCTAGATAGGTGTCAGTTACCCAAATTAAATCAAGAACAGATAAGCAATTTAAATAGACCTATAACTCCTAGGGAAATAGAAGCAGTGATCAAAAGTCTTCCAACCAAAAAAAGAAAAAAGAAAGAAAAAAAGAAAGGAAGAAAGAAAAGAAAGCCCAGGGCCAGATGATTTCAGTGCAGAATTCTACCTAAAATTCAAAGAAGAGCTAATACCAGTACTACTCAAATTGTTCCACACAATAGAAACAGAAAAGTCATTGCCAAACTCTTTTTACAAGGCTACAATTACCTTGGTACCCAAAACACACAAAGACACAACTAAGAAAGAGAACTACAGACCAATTTCCCTCATGAACATTGATGAAAAAATCCTCAATAAAATACTGGCAAATCGGATCCAAGAACACATCATAAAAATCATCCACCATGATCAAGTAGGCTTCATCCCAGGGATGCAGGGATGGTTCAACGTATAAAATAATCCACCATATTAAAAAAAACTGAAAAAGAAAAAACATACGATCATCTGACTAGATGTTGAAAAAGTCTTAGACAAAAATCCAACACCTCTTCATGTTAAAGGTCTTGGAGAGATCCGTGATAACAGGAATGTACCTAAATACAGTAAAGGCAATATACAGCAAGCCAACAGTCAACATCAAACTAAATGAGGAGAAACTCAATGTGATTCCTCTAAAATCAGGACAAGGCTGTCCACTCTCCATATCTCGTCAATATTGTACTTGAAGTCCTAGCTAGAGCAATAAGACAACAAAAGAGATCAATGGGATACAAATTGGAAAGGAAAAAGTCAAACTTTCACTATTTGTACATGATATGATACATTACATAAGTGATCTGAAAATTCTACCAGGGAACTCCTACAGCTGATAAACACCTTCAGCAAAGTCGCAGGATACAAGATTAACTTAAAAAATCAGTAGCCCTCTTATATATAGATGATAAATGGGCTGAGAAAGAAATCAGAGAAACACCACCCTTTACAATTGCCACAAACAACATAAAATATCTTGGGGTAACACTAACCAAACAAGTGAAAGACCTGTATGACAAGAACTTTATGTTTTTAAAGAAAGAAATTTTTTTTTGGTTTTTACGAGACAGGGTTTCTCTGTATTGTTTTGGAGGCTTATCGGTCCAGCCCGGCCTCGAACTCACAGAGATCTGCCTGCCTCTGCCTCCCAAGTGCTGGGATTAAAGGCGTGCGCCACCACCGCCCGGCTGAGTTAGCATTGGTTTTATGGTTAAGTTTAGAGTTAGGGTTATGGTTAGAGTTTGCACTAGGGTTGGCATTTGGGTTAGTGTTATGGTTATGATTAACGTTAAGTTAGAGTTAGGGTTAGTATAGGGCATCTTTTAGTTTTAT